ATCTGATGAGAAGAAACAAGTCATTTTTATTGTCTCTCATAACTCTTTAGTCACATTGTATGGCTAATAAGGATCAAATAAGACTAACTGGTATAAAAATCTACTTACGTATAAATCTGCTATTTCCAACCAAATTTCTCTAGATAAAATCTAGTTTATATTATTTTTTTAATAGATATTAAAGTTAAGAACTATACATTTTTTAGTGCTAAAATCTGAACTTCATTAAGACATTGGCATTTTATACTCAAGACTTTCAAGGCTACATGTCCTGGCACATACATGTGGTAAGACAATCTTAGAAAGTTCCAAAGTCCATGCGAAGCACTTAATTTTAGTTTTCCTGAACTCACTTGCACCAGACTATTTAAAATACATACGTTAATGAGTTATATATTCTTTGCTCTGTTTATAAAAAAATATTTTTAAGCAAGAACCCTAAGCATTTAATGTTGCATGACAACAAATTCCCAAATACCACCAGTAGGTCTGCAATGCATCAAAAGCATCTCAGCTATTGAGCACAATGCATGACCACTTGATAATACTTGGAAATAGCTACATAATAGCATATAATATTCCTAAATTTTGCAGTTTCGTGCAAGTTATCTTGCTTTCACATAATGTGTACTATATCAAGCTATTTATTCTATTTATGTAAAATGTCTCAGAAGAATCCCAACTATTCAAACATACCAAGGAAACAAAAATTGGTTTGAGAAATGAGATAATTTATTCAAGAAATCAGAGGTAAAGTTGCAGTGTTCACCTTTGGGAGAAAAATGACTTTTGGTTCAAGTTATAGGGAGGTTCAAAAAATGAAGGGTTTGAGAAATTGGGATTCAACTCATAATTGCTAAAAAATGTAACTTCTTTTGTTTTCATACATAAAACTAGACCACAGTAAATTATTTACGGGGATAACAATTAGTGTAAAATAATGTCCGTAAAAAATTTCTCTGAGAAATTACCCATACTTATCATACACAAAAAAATTTGTACAATTTGATTTTAAATAAAGTTGCCTAAAATAGTTCCTCTTTTGGATATAGTAAAATGAGGTCTAAGCTAGTGCAAACAAGCAGAAAGGGAGATCAACATCAATTGAAGGAGAATAATAAAAGCAGACTGCCAGTCTTTCTGTTTCCCAGTGTCAGATAGCATTACCTAGCCAAGTTAAGAACTAACTTTAAATCAACATCTTTAATAACTAACTCTGCTTCTTTTAATCACGTGAGTCAAAACAAAAATGGCCCATGTAGGGAAATAGATTCTTGTAACACACATAATAACACGTTAATTTCTAAAACAAAAAAATTGTGAGACATTGACCAAACAACCTTGCTCTAGAAGACTGTTTGATTTGTTCTGGTAACTAATTTGAACATAATTAATTGTCACCAGTTGTCAAGAGGCCAGCAAATACTAATCAAATTCATCTGACAGTGTAATAACATTATATTGTTCAACATGCCAAAGAGAATTTTACTTTAATAGCACAACGAAAAATTGTGAAGGTGTACATCAAAATTAATACAGTAAAGTGAACAGTAACTTCTTCATTTCTTCATTTTCATTTGCAGTTAATTTTCCTTTACATGATTGCTCAGTTTGAACGTGCTATAAACTCAGTCTTAGGGTAAATAAAGGTGCTAGCCTCCCGTTTGTGCTCATTCATGCTTCCACTTGCTTTGGATTACCAGTAGACTAGTAGATTGTAATGAATTATTAGGGTGAGACAGTCATACCAAAATCACAGTTTTCATTTGAATAAAACACCAGAGAGGATAATTTAATTTGATTCATTATAATAATCTTCCTGAGATACGAAGACTAGATGCCACTTGTAAAATTCTGANGGTTTGAGAAATGAGATAATTTATTCAAGAAATCAGAGGTAAAGTTGCAGTGTTCACCTTTGGGAGAAAATGACTTTTGGTTCAAGTTATAGGGAGGTTCAAAAAACGAAGGGTTTGAGAAACTAGGATTCAACTCATAATTGCTAAAAAATGTAACTTCTTTTGATTTCATACATAGAACTAGACCACAGTAAATTATTCACAGGGATAACAATTAGTGTAAAATAATGTCGGTAAAAAATTTCTCTGAGAAATTACCCATACTTATCATACACAAAAAAATTTGTACAATTTGATTTTAAATAAAGTTGACTAAAATAGTTCCTCTTTTGGATATAGTAAAATGAGGTCTAAGCTAGTGCAAGCGAGCAGAAAGGGAGATCAATATCAATTGAAGGAGAATAATAAAAGCAGACTGCCAGTCTTTCTGTTTCCCAGTGTCAGATAGCACTACCTAGCCAAGTTAAGAACTAATTTTAAATCAACATCTTTAATAACTAACTCTGCTTCTTTTAATCACGTAATAAGTCAAAACAAAAATGGCCCACGTAGGGAAATAGATACTTGTAACACACATAATAACATGTTAATTTCCAAAACAAAAAAATTGTGAGACATTGACCAAAAAAACCTTGCTCTAGAAGACTGTTTGATTTGTTCTGGTAACCAATGAACATAATTAATTGTCACCAGGTTGTAAAGAGGCCGGCAAATACTAATCAAATTCATCTGACAGTGTAATGACATTATATTGTTCAATATGCCAAAGAGAATTTTACTTTATTAGCACAATGAAAAATTGTGAAAGTGTGCATCAAAATTAATACAGAAAAGTAGACAGTAACTTCTTCATTCCTTCATTTTCATATGCAGTTAATTCCTTTACACGATTGCTCAGTTTGAACGTGCTATAAACTCAGTCTTAGGGTAAATAAAGGTGCTAGCCTCCCGTTTGTGCTCGTTCATGCTTCCACTTGCTTTGGACTACTAGTAGACTAGTAGACTGTAATGAATTATTAGGGTGAGAACTCACAGTCATACCAAAATCACAGTTTTCACTCGAATAAAACACCAGGGAGGATAATTTAATTTGATTCACTATAATAATCTTCCTGAGATACAAAGACTAGATGCCACTTGTAAAATTCTGAAAATTGGACATTTGGGGTAATAATTATTTCAGTATACAAGTCAAATAAATAAAAATCCTTATATTCTCCTCCAGTATACAAACAAAGTAATATGCCTTTTGCCTAACCTCATCATTGTAACCCTGACGATCAAAAAATTGGTTAGGAACCAAAATGCATCCCAAAATTAAATATATCATCATGAAATAAGAATGAATACCAGTTATGAGGTACAGATATTCATAAGTGCATGATTTTAAAGTGGTTTGAAAGTTTGAAAAATTTAAACATTTTGTTTTGACGAAGGACCACAGAAAATTTCCTGCAAGAGTCCACAGCTGAACCTAATAGTTTCATTAAACAATGCAATCAAATTGGCCCACGTTGCAGATAGGCACAAATTGACTTGAGCCACAAAACAATCCCCTGGGTCCACCTACAGAAGGCTCAGAACTCTAAAAATGTTTTTAAAAATCAAAATCTGGGAGATCATCAATGTTGCCTTCCTGAACCTAAAAAAGGTGGTCAAAGATAGAGCCCTGCCAATTCAACCACAAAAATTGGTCAAAGAGAAAAAAAATCCCCCCCCCCTCTCAAAAAAAATGCCAAAAATTGGCCAAAAGTGTATATTATGCACTTTTCTTTGTATTGTGTGGAAGACTTGGTGACCCATACGAGAGACCAGGTAACTGAACCTGGGGCCGACTCGGAATAATCCAGAGGAGTTGGCACAGATGTCATGAAGTATATTGATACAGAAACTTTACTAGACAACATTATGGAAGATTTGATCCATATGACTTCAGTTTCTTTTCTACACTAACTTCCTTTGGATCATCATTGTCAATAATGACTTCATATCTAACGCCCTTTGAACTGTAAAGGCAATAGTGTTGAACCATAAATAACAGGTCGAATAAAATGGAGATAGCACCCAAACCAAACTTTGTGAAATCACCAAAAATGGACTTCCAGTCATCTGCAAACAACAACATCCATTGACATGGTTAAAATCAATAACTTATTAAATAATATTTAAAAATTTAATTCATTTCTTATGAACTGGTCAGTAAACACTTTCCTTGATGACATTCCAAGACAGTTTATTACAGTGACCTTAAAAAAAAATTGGTGCATCATCTTGACATTGGCCCTTTATGTCTTACAAGTCTATTCATGTTATTCTCACAGCTGAGTGCAGCAGTGGAGGCAGTGTGCCCAGGTGGTTTAGGGTGCTGGATTTGAAATCTGGAGATCCCTGGTTTAAATCCTGCACCCTGCTGCCCTACTCAACTCCTTGACCAAATGTTGTGTAAATAGCCAACCGGTCACAGCCTTCAACAAGTTGGGATTCTCAATAGTTTGTGGCTTGTTTGCAATATTTGTTTGTTTATTTAGAGTGTCTCCAGTAAGCTTGACAGTGCTTAATACACTTGACACATAAAGTTATTCATTTATTAAATGTAGTCTAACTATACAGGAAAATAAATGGGTACCAGCAAATTTTTGTAAAAAGCTCACAACCACCTGCCAGTATTTTGTGTTACCAGTGTTTCACGTAACCTACAAGCAGGCACACATTTGATGTCACCTGCATGAGCTGCAAGAATGAGCTGGCAAGCAAGATGAGGTATATTATCAGAGACAAGTCTAGAGGGCAGAACCCTTGAAATATGCATGTTTGATCCTATGCTTTTGAACCTGGGAGGACTCCCATACAAAAGGATGCAAGTGCTCGTCGGAAATTTTGAAAAGAGCCCCTAAGAGGTATCAGGATCCTGTTTTGNTTTCTTATGAACTGGTCAGTAAACACTTTCCTTGATGACATTCCAAGACAGTTTATTACAGTGACCTTAACAAAAATTTGGTGCATCATCTTGACATTGGCCCTTTATGTCTTACAAGTCTATTCATGTTATTCTCACAGCTGGCAGTGCAGCAGTGGAGGCAGTGTGGCCAGGTGGTTTAGGGTGCTGGATTTGAAATCTGGAGATCGATCCCTGGTTCAAATCCTGCACCCTGCTGCCCTACTCAACTCCTTGACCAAACGTTGTGTAAATAGCCAACCGGTCAGCCTTCAACAAGTTGGGATTCTCAATAGTTTGTGGCTTGTTTGCAATATTTGTTTGTTTATTTACAGTGTCTCCAGTAAGCACGACAGTGCTTAATACACTTGACACATAAAGTTATTCATTTATTAAATGTAGTCTAACTATACAGGAAAAT